CGACGCCCCGCCGAGTCCCGGCAGCCTGGCCGCCGTCCCGCCCGCAAAGGTGAAGAAGAAGGCTCCAAGGAAACCGCGGTCGGAGTACACGCCAGAGGAGATCGCCAAGTTGGACGCGAAATCGGCGAAGAGGAGGGAACGGAGAGCGGTCGTCAAGCTCAATGCCGCCGCGACCAAGAGAGCCGCCATGCGCGAGGAGCTGGAGGCCGCGCGGCGCAAGGCCGCTGCCGACGAGAAGGAGGACCTCGTCAACAAAGCTCACGCCATCCTCATGCTTGGCATGGGCCGTCCCGCTGGGTTCCCTGCAGCGGCCGTCGCACCGGCGAGCACCAGCTCGTCGGTTGCGCGGCCTACGCACCGCCAGTCGCCGACGTCGCGCACCACGCCCATGTCGCCCGGCTTCCCTCCGCCAAGGCATGACGGACAGACCCGTTTCTCGGGGTCGCCGGAGATGGGCTTGTTCGCGCCGTCCACACCACGCCCCGCGGCCGTCATCGACCTCAACGTCACGCCCGGGTCCAGCAGCGGCGGGCGGCCGTCCGTCGAGATGCTAAGAAAGCAGGCACGGGCACCGTTCACGGGCACCATGAGACTTTGGCCGTGTATATGTTTGCATGTTCACTTGTTGTTGATCATGTGGTGTAGGCATTCCAATCTTTGGAGGCATTCAAGGCCCGACACAATGACAAGCCATTCACTCTTACGCATTGTTGGACGCTCATCAACATGTGCCCTAAGTTCAAGGACCAATACAGTGAACTACAAAGAAAAAGAGGACTGAAGACGGCCAAGTTCGCCGGAGGTGGAGATGGCGAGGCGTTGAAGAGGCCGAGGGGCAAGATCAACTCCAAGGTGGACGACATACGTGACGCCTCATCCATGGCCTTGCATGAGACTTTGCATGGCATGATGTCCCAAAAGGATGTGAGGGACGAGAAGAAGCGGCAAAGCAAGGACGAGCAAATGAAGCAATACCTAGACCTTCAAAGATAGAAGCTTGAGATGGAGGAGGCGGCCAAGAAGAGGAAGCTCAACATGGAGGAGGCGGCCCGGCAAAGGCAGCTCGACATGGAGGAGGCGGCCCGGCAAAGGCAGCTCGACATGGAGGAGGCGGCCCGGCAAAGGCAGCTGGACATCGAGGCCGACAACGTCAAGGCCAGGCAGAGGCAGCTCGACATCGAGGCCACCAATGCCGCCACCAAAGCGAAGGAGGTGGCCCTTGCGATCATGAGCGTGGACTTGTCGAAGATGAGCGACAAGACGAGGGCCTGGTTCGAGGCCAGGCAGAAGGAGATGATCGACGCCGAAGGCCTGAACTAGGTCATCTGATCGGCGTGGCCGTTCTTTTTTAGGCTGGCATGGGTGCCGCCCGCCCGTCGGGGGCCGCTGGCAGTGCGCCGGCGAGAAAACATTCATTTTGAAGGCCGGCTGTGTTGCCGGCGAGAAGAACTATTCATTTTGGAGGCTGGCTGTGTTGCCGGCCGCTGGTTGATGCCGGCGATGGACGTGTAGGCCTGCGTGAACCGGGGACGCTAGCTGAATTAGTTTTTTATGGATGCGGACAGGATGGGGCAAATGGATGCGACCGCGCGCTGCGCGCACGACCACCGCATCCCAGGACACGCCTGGACACGACCCCAAACCCCTACCCAAACGGACCGAATCCGGACAAAACGGACGTCCGTTTGGGGCCGCGCGGTGGGGTTGGCCTAACGCCTTGCTCTCCGGCACTAGCCTATACATAGTGTAATGCCCCACACCAAGACGCTACTCTACCGGCTGCTGGGACCCGCCACGCCGCACTGGTAGGAGGGTAGCACCCGTCAGAGCGACGCTACACTATAAATAATAGCGCCTACCTTTCAGACAGGGGTTGCACAAAAGGGTTAAATATGTGAAATTCTTTCGGTGGGAGTTTTATTATTTTATTCTTTGGCCTCTAGGTTATTTGTGTCCTAAATTTTGCCTCCTCTAGCAGGGGCCTAAGGATACCTACATGTCCTGACAATGATTTGCAGTGTGATAGTAGGTGACAAAAGCTGTGCCCAGAAACAAAGATAAGGTGTGAACTACAAAAACCATCCCACGGTTTTGGAAGTTATTTGCGACACAAAAAAGGATAGTAGGTGACAAAAGCTGTGCCCAGGAACAAAGATGAGAGATAAAAGAATCAGAAGGATAAAAAAGGATGTTCTCTTCCATACTCAGTTCGAGTTTAAGCATGTTATTCCGACTTACTAGTATCGGGTAGGAGTAAAGCATTACCTACTTTGAGAAGTCTTCGATTAGCTATGATTATTACTATTAAGATAGCCTCTCATCTTCGGTTCTTGTCTGAACTTACTCTGTGTATACGTTTGATCCTATCAGTGTGCTGCTTAGCACGACAGCAGTAAGGGCATAGTAGTGCCGAAACAAATATTATTTTTTCACCTTTTTGCCCGGTGTTGCTACAGTACTTGTAGGAGATGAGCTTTTGGCAGCATAGCACTAACTGTAGGAGATGAGCTTTTGGCAGCATAGCACTAACTCAGCTACTCCTACTATATTCAAAGCTACTTGCCTAGTAGTACTCCTGTAGACAGTAGTATTGCTCTGTCTAAACAAATCTAAGACAAGAATTTTAGGACGGAGGTAATATTATGGAAGGATGAATCAGTAATGCTATGGGTAAGCCATGAATGACATCAGAAGGCACAGCTATAGCTAATGCTAATCAATTGCGGAATATGCTAATCATAGCTAATGCTAATAAACACAACTGTGCACTTGCTACTGTGTTCTGTGTTTACCCCACCCATGGGCGTGAAAAATTGTTCCAAGCCACTGATCTTTATTAATCTAAAGCGTGGCATATGATATCAGAACGGAAGAACGACAGTCCATACTCGCGCTACATCACATGAGGAATAAAGAACCACCGTAATCCTGGCCACTAACGTAAAGGGCATGCCTTTTTTAGGGAGGTAAAAGACACATACTACTAGGCAATTAATGAGACGTCGAACTGTATGCCTGTACTCGCGCTGGGTCAGATTTCAAAAAATCCAACGCGGGTGTTTCACTTATTCAGTGCCGGAACTTGCAAAAATTTACACTTTCGGAGTTTTTGAATTCCTGAAAGGTCCATGAAATTGAAACTTTTAGTGCTTTTCATAAATTCAAACTTACAGAAAGTTGAAAAAACTAAAATTTGGAACTTCTAATGTAAACTTCCTTCGAACTTTAAAAAAATTAAACTTGAGGTTTTCATAATCCTGAAATGTCCAAGAAATAAACGTTCATATATTTTTTGAATTTTTGGTTCGTTTCATAAATTTGAACTTACAAAAAGTTCAGAAATCTAAAACTTGACCTCTAGAAATTTTGAAACCTCAGTTATTTTATAGCAATCAGGAATACAGAAACATAGTAATCCTGACCACTAATGTAAAGGAGATGCCTTTTTTAGGGAGGTAAAAGACACACATACTACTATGTGATCGAGGAGACGTCAAAATGTAAGCCTAGGTCAGATCAGGAACCACGGAAGGCAAAACCTCTAGCGGCACAAAACGAAACCAGTTCATCAACCCAGATACATGCTGCTACATGGAGGGTGCCGTACACGTACAAAATCCACGCAGGATCACGGCACACAGGTCACTCCAGTACGTACCATACACCAAAGGCAAGTACAA